TTTAGTTTGTTGTGTGTGTGTGTGTGTGTGTGTGTGTGTGTGTGTGTTTGTATATATAATATAGTTAAGTTAATTAGTTTTGTAAATATTATTAACCATCGCAGATTTTTATATTCAATAATAATTTTTATAATTTATTAATAAATTTTACATTTATGCTTTTGAAGTATGAGCATCAATTATTATTCGATCTGAAAACGCATCTTTTGTGCTAAAATTGTGGAAATGTAATATCATTGTTGAATTAATTATTATTTCGACTTAAAGGAAGAAATATGAGATGTTCGTAACAACATATGAGGAAATCGTGGCGAGGTCGCGAACCTACGGACATTGTACCCGACCATCGATCTCTTCCGTGTAAGATTTACGATCGCATTAAATCTCTACGAATCTAATATCGAATTCCCAAACTCGTCATTATAGCCCGTAGTTAATAGAATAATTTGATTTACAAATCGTCTTGACACCACTTACAATTTTTGCTCATTTACAATTTAGTTCGTTTCTCATTAACATATCATTTACGTGTCATCAAATTAATCAATAAATAAAATGTTCCGTACGGTTTTAAGGAAATGTTTAAGCTTTCAGCTTTAATTAACTCTCAAATTTCATATTGATTAATTTTAATTTATCAACGAATCAAATTCATAATATTGTTGTAAATTTATTCTTCTCTTGATTGACATAAAATGAGATTGAAAAATTAGCTTTTACAAAAAAATATAACTTTATACATATAAGTTAAAAAAAAAATGATTAGGCATCAAGATACTAAAAATCAAGTAATAAAAATCACTTATTGCTGTGAAACGTAACTTTATTTCAACAATAATGTGAACGGGTTTTTTTAACGACGCAGGTGGCATGCTCTCTGACCTAACGCCGCAGGAACTACATGTGTCTCAATTAGAACGTTACGAGACCTCGGCTTTGAGACGAGACGCGGAATCGGCACTGTTCGCGATACCTCTCGGCCTCACCAGGCATCGATACTCGAAGGAGGCCCTTCGAGCGGTTCTCGACGCGCGCTGCATCGTCGACGGGAGCATCCAGGAAGCGGCCAGGTGGCCGACCGAGTGCCAGGTGAAAGTTAACGCACCTGCACATTTTTCATGCCTGTACTTTTTCCGTAATTTTACACCGTATCTTGACATCATGAGCAGCTAATGCCTTTCTCCGAAGATGAAATGCCGCGTATCGCGTAAAATTCACCGTGTATAATGTTAATTGCCGTCGCATAAAAACGAATCTGCGATTACGATAAGGGATGCCCTCCTCTCTTAAGAGGATACGCGAAGTCGTTAATTTGTTCTACATCGTTATTGCGCTGAATTACTCGGTGCAGCGTAAGTGTGCAATTAACCGACACAATGATCTTCCAGGTGATTCCGGAAAGAGTTCGCCATATAGAGTACAATCCTGCCACACCGGAAGTCTTCTACGTTCCAACCGGAAAGGAACCGAGACCGAAGCCGATCGGCGACGAGCTCGGAACGGTGATATTTCGCTATTGTCCTACTAACGTTACTAATTACGTAAGTCACGACATTGTGATATCTAATTTTTTCTCATATTTACGCATCAAGCCTAAGCAAGGTACAAGTTCACTCAAGTATATTACGAAAAAGCGAAAATAATTGACAGAGATTTTCTGACTGAGAATCGAGAGTTTGAAGATGGAAATTTGTTGTTTCTGCAGTTTAGCCGATCTTGCGTGGGTGGTAACACGGTGTTACCGTTTTCCACGGAATTTTCTGGAGAGTCGACTGCGTGCACCATGAATATCAAGGAAGGTGTCAATGGCAACGACATCTTTTTCGTTGCCGAAGCATCTCGGCCGAAGGACGAGAGCACGGATTTGCGATTTGAATCGCGATTCGAGTCTGGAAATCTCGGCAAAGTGGTGAAAATAACCGACACGTATTACCAGCTCTATCTGAGAAGGGATCTGTACACGCAAAGGCACACGCAATGGTACTACTTCAGGGTGTCGAATACAAGAAGCAGGATTACGTATAGGTAAAGCTGAAGAGACTGATCAATTGCATTTTCTAGGAAATTGGAAAGTTTAAAAAAAAAGCCAATAAAAATCATTTTTTTATGAAGTATAAAAATTTGGCTAGATACAGCTCTAAAAATATTTTTATTGAATCGTCAAAATAATTTTGCAGGATGCTTTAACATGATGATTATGCAAAAATATTTGAAACTAGCAACTAATTTGGACGTCCTAAATATCTTGATGACAAAACCATTTTCAAATCCTTTATTTGATAAAATTTTAAGATTCTTCAGTAAAACTATTCTTTCCAAGTATCTCTTTTTAAATTAAATTTAAATTAAAGGGGTATTTTATTTTGTTAGGTCAAAAAATCAAATTTTTTCACATATTTTTAATTCTCGTAGTCTGTAAAATATTTTTACAAGATTTGTTTTAGAAATTTTGAATATTAAAGAAACAGCGAGAACTGCTCGCTGCATAATTATCAGCGCGCTACCTCGTGCCCACTCTATTTTTTTTTAAACTTCCCCTTCTACCTAGGACCTGTTCCAGGGCCCTTGTTTTATTTTTGAAGGTTTCTTTGTATTAAGCAGTCTCTTTTTACACTTCGGCGAATATAGAAGTATCGTTGTACATACGCTAACGCGAATAAAGATTTTTAATTTACGAATATGGATCGCGAGGGAATTAAAAAGTATCACTCTCATTCGGGAATCAAAACAGTGGCATAAATCATCTATATAATCCAATTTTTGAAAAATGTATTGTTGCAGATTTTCAATCGTGAATATGTGCAAAGATGAGAGTCTGTATAACGAAGGTCTCAAGCCTCTTCTTTACTCCACCGAAGACGCCCGAACCCGATCGGTAGGATGGAGAAGGTGCGGCGACAACATCACGTATTACCGAAACAACGACTCGTAAGTGAATCTTTTTATTCCGATTTATTAATCTCGTGATATGAGAGAGAAAGAGAAAGAAGTAACGAAATAATTGCAGGAGCGACGAGGAGAAGGAGAGGCACACGCTGACGTTCAACATCTCATTCCCTCACGATCGCGACATCGTTTATTTGGCGCATTGTTATCCATACACCTATACTGATCTCCAGGTAAAACGATCGCTATACGGCGTAAGAAAAAGATCGCTGCACACCCGTAACCCTATAAATAATTTAACAGAATCGGCTGAGTAACTGAAAGTAACTGTAAGTATCGCTGGTATTTCGCTTTATTCCCGCCGATTCTCGTTTTCGCGCTCGAGAAAGCAAGAAGACGCGAGGAGTAAATTAGAAGTGCTTTCGGTAATTACCGCGCGCGGAATGTTCCCATAGTCCACCACTAATCGCGTATCGCACGCGGAATGAAGCGGTATTTATTTATACGTTTCCTCTCTCCCTCGCTCCTCCCCCCTATCGCGATTACCATCACAAACGATTCTCGGCCCCGGCGATTGTATTTATTGCGCGTTCCGCCCGTAGATTAAATCTCGGTCTACCTCTCTAATTGCTCGCATAAACATGCCCCAGGAGTATCTCGGCAAGATCGTGGCCGACCCCGCGAAAACGAGGTTCGCCAAGCTGCGCCTGCTGTGCCGCAGTCTGGCAGGAAACGGGGTGTATTACTTGACAATCACCGCGCCGACCCACGACGAGGAGGTGCGCAGGAAGCGGGGCGTCGTTATCACGGCCCGGGTGCACCCCGGCGAGACGCCGTCGAGCTGGACGATGAAGGGCATCATCGACTTCCTCACCGGCGACACGAATCGGGCCAGGGTGAGAGGCGATTTCGCAATTCCACGCAAAAAAAAAAACGGAATTTTCTTACGGAAGTATCTAAAAATTTGGCTAGGTATATATAAGTAAATAATTATGCAAGATACTTAAATATGATAGTATTGGATTGCAACTTTTTATATTCTATAAGGAAAAAAAATTATCCTCGTCTTAAATCAAGCTTACATATTCTCGTATATAAGCAAGAATATGTCTTGATTTAATAAATATAATCTTGATTTAATCTTCATATAGAAGATTTTTAGACTTGAGTTGAGCTAAAGTAATATTTGCATTAATACAAATTCAACCAAATCAAGATTAAAAGTTTTAACAAGATTATAATATTCTTGCTTATATATGAGAATATATTTATTTCGATTTAAAATTAATTTTTTTTTGTCAACCAATTTTTCCTACATAAATATTTAATTATTCAAAATTATTTTCAGATATCCGTTCAAATTGTTAGATACTTCAACTAGAGACTATATTTACAGTTCGTTTCGAAATATGCGAGATCCGAGATGGACATGTCGCATGAAATGTAACTTAACAGACGGTTAAAATATCGCGATTGAAGCGAAACGTGGTTAATATCTGACTACCGGAGATTTATGTCGTGGAGCATAAAACTTAACGACCAACCTAATAGGATGGATATCGCGCGATTTGCAGGAGCTCAGGGAGAGATTCATCTTCAAGTTAGTGCCGATGCTGAACCCGGATGGCGTCATAGTGGGCAACAATCGATGCTCCCTATCCGGAAAGGATCTGAACCGGCAGTACAGAACCGTGATGCGAGAAAGCTATCCGTCCGTGTGGCACACGAAGCTAATGATACGGAGGCTCCTTGAAGAATGCGGGGTAGCGATATATTGCGACCTCCATGCTCACTCGAGGAAGCACAATATATTTGCTTACGGTTGCGAGAGCAAGAGAACTGGATATAATGGAAGACTGTCGGAACAAGTGTTTCCGTTGATGCTTCACAAAAATGCAGCCGATAAGGTAACTTGAACAAATAGGAAAAAAAAAATCATAAAAAAAAATCACAATAATTTTTATATAACAATTCTTAGATTGAATTAAAATTAAATTGCAAGTTGAGTTGTAGCAAACTTCTTTTTAATTAACGTCGATTATTTTCTCAATTATTTTTTTTTTCAAAACTAATCGTAAATTGTGTCGGAAGTTTCGTTTTCTGATTTTATGTTACCAGTTCTCTTTCGAGAATTGCAAATTTCATGTCGAGAAAGGGAAGGAAGGTACGGGTAGAGTGGTCGTGTGGTCGATGGGCGTTCAAAACAGTTACACCATGGAGGCTTCTATGGGCGGCTCGAAAATCGGCTCGAGATGCGGGACTCATTTCTCCATTCAGGACTACGAACAAATCGGCAAAGCTTTCTGCGAGACTCTGCTCGACTTTTCCGATCAAGATCCCATGAAGGTAATATTGTCCAATTAATTTGTACTTCAATCATATTTTTGTATTTCCTTTGAAAAAAAAAAGATCGTATTTGAATAGCGATTTTTCTCGTTTAATTTACCTTCACTTAATCTCTCACTTTACTCTTGCAAATCTTACTCTAAACAATAAAAATGTATCAAATATAAAGTGAAATTATCAAGTCATTCGAATGGTTCCGAAGGAATTAATTATCAAAATTTTCATCACGAAACGATTCGATTTTTACGCATACATTTTCCTGGATCAACTTATGTCATGGTAAGTAATATTAGATCATTTTAATGACTGAAAGATTCCATATTTTGCTATATTATTAAAAATTTCAAGGTTTGATTAAAAATTCGAATAAATTTATTTGGAAATGATATTATTCAAAAATTCTAATTTGTGTAACTCTAATCAGGATAAACTGTGGATCTCGTAAAACATGACACGATAGGAAAGCCTCCGATTTAAAATCATTGCCAGATTAACGAAGGAGGGATCTAGCGCTGAAGAGCCTACCAATATCGATCTGACTGATTATTCAAGGTATATTCTTCCGGATTATTCGTATTTTATCCATCCTATATTGTTTTCACATAATTTACAAATTATAAAATCATTCAGCAACGAGGGAGATATCTCACAGGAGAGTTTCTCATCGGAAGAAGAGAGGACCGAATATACGGATGCTGCATGGTCCAGCGAGGGTGGAGAATTCTTGATGAGTCGCCGTCGATATCTGTGCGTGCCACCCCCGTCACCGACCTTCGTTCCACCGAGGAGCGTCGGTCTTTACAAAAGGAGAGCGCGAAGAGATGTCGCGAGAAGAATTTACTTACAGCGCAGAAGAAATCTGGTATTTATGATTATCCTGAAATTTCTTAAATAAAAAATCCTAAAATACCCTTAATTCTGTTAAGTCTGAAAATTATATTTCTCTTTCGAAAGAATTGAAAAAGGATTCTCATGAAGATATTCTCGTGATGATGAATGTTCGCTTCAGTTCTCACTAAATCATGTGTATTGTTCTCGACAGACACGACGAGCAGTAATGGATTTGCCAACTATGGATCCAGGTAGCGATTTGTGCGATTTGACCGATTCGGCCGACGAGAATTTCGTCAAAAGCGAGGGAAGAGAATATGACGGTACGTCCAATAATATTGAAATGAATATCTACAGATTTTTGAAGTAGTATACAATAAATTTTACAGTTTCTTAAATATTACTCAATAGTTAAAAAAATAATTTTTAATGCATCTTATAAAGAGAAGATTTCATGATAACGTGTCATGATGTCAAAAATCTCATTTCAAAAATACAGAATATTAATAATTTTATAAAATGATAATTTTTCTTAATAGCTTCTTAATGATCTTGTGCATATCTGGTCTTGCAGTTGTATGGAAAAATACGCAAGAATACCGCGAAGAGATAATCGAGCTCTCCGAGAGGGAGACTACCGAGAAAGAGAAGCGACAGGATGACGCATTAGTCTTACCGGATATTGTGAGACCTCGCAGCGTGTCCTTTGGAGAATTATTGCCGCGCAAGGAACAGCGGAAAACTCGCCAACGGCCGCGATGTCTTAGGTATAGAGTTCAATTATTTCTTCTACTAAAAAAGAAAAAAAAAAAAAGAAAAAAAAAAGAAAAGAAAAAAAAGAAAAAGTTCTTCGACAACTCCCACAAATTTTTTAGTAAAATAGAAAGTCTACCAGCGGAATATCGTTGCGAAGGTCCTGCCCAATTAATCCTTTCGGTTTTTTCGACCACAATGCAATCACACTTGCAACGCTTCTGTGCGTTTAATTAAATTATCTACTAAATAAGCAACTGATCTTTCACGTCTGCACTCTTATAAAGCTGAAATATAACTAATTTTCTATATGTAGTGTTTGGTTGTCATGGTAATATCAAAATGCGCACTATCGAACTACTATAGTTTCTCGTGGTATATAGAAATTCTTTCATGGTGGATAACTATGTAGCGAAAGGTACATTGTGATACCAAATCGCGCGTTACTATCGGAAATATAAATAGAAACAATAATACATATTTATCAAAAATGCCAATATCTCTTAATGACTTAGTACGACAAAGGCTTATCTCGCACAACGTATCATAAAAACAAATAATAAATAAATAATAGTCGTTTTTTCTACAGAGCAATTCATCGAGCAATTTTGTTCTGTAATAATCGCATTTAGTTGGAAAATCAATTTATATTTGGCAGAACGCTAAGAAATCCGTCGCCGGTGTCGCCGAGGAGTCAAGAGGTGCGAATCAAACTGACATCATTGAGACAGCAGATTTGGACGGGCGTGTCGACCGCCACCGAGGGCAACGACGCAGAACATCTTGTCGACGCATTTGTTAAGACACCGTTGAGCTGGGGTGTCTCCAGACACGCTCTGATGCATTATCCCACGGACGGCGAGGTCACGCTAAAGTGAGTCGACTTATCGAGCACATGGTGCTCATAAAATATGCGCTTTGCTTCGTCACAGTTAAATATATAGCCGGAATATTTTTTCGCTTAATAATGCTCGAGTGTGTCGGCTCTCTTCAAAATAAGAATTTCTCACATGAGACAAGCATTTTTCAAAGCTGGATCTTGTATAATAATTCTTTTTTGGAATTTATATATATATTATATATACATACATGTATATAAAAATTTATTTGTTTTTGCCATTCGCATGTGGCAATATAGCGAAGAGCCAGAATGCATAACATATTTCCTTAATAATCAAAATTCAATAATATTCATTAATTAAGAGAATCTTGATGTTTATTAGGCGTATTATTTTTCCAGATCGCCATCCAAGAAAACGCAGTCGCTCTACGACGCGGACAAGGACGACGCGAGAAAGACGCGGAAAAAATCGCGGCGAAACGCGCCCCAGTTGAAGGCAGTCGCGCGAGCGGATGGACAGAAGCCGTCCAAGAGGAAGAACGCGAGACTCGACTGGCAACGGGCGGTGAATCTGAACTCAAGGGGCAAGGACGCCAGAGTCACGAGAAGCTCTTCCCTCCTAACAATTGAGGCGGATTCACTCAAGTTGTTGACCACGTCGACGACGTCTAAGCAGCCGCAGCGACCGCAGCGGAAGCTCGAGTCGCGCCGGAAGTTTCGCAGTGTCGGCGCGGTGGCGTCCACCTGCGTCGGAATTGGAACGAAAACAGGTGCCTCCAAGTCGACGAGAACACGAGCGTGTCGTCGAGACGCTTTCTGCGAAAGTACGACGTCCGACGACGCCTCGTCAGACTCGGGCAAGCCGAAGGTCGTGAAAAAAAAGCATAGGAAGAAGAAGCAGCAATCGCAGCAGCAGCAACAACCGCCTTCGAGGAAATCGAGCAGAGGAACGGAGCAAGGCAAACGTGCCTGCAGCGCAAAAACTTTACGTAACATCGTTTGAGAATTACTTTTCTCTGACCGAGCTATTATCGTTCATCACGTTTAAAAATAATTTGAAAGAAATTTCCTCCTTAATGAAAACATCGGGAAACGATATTCTCGGACGATTAAATTAATAGTAAAAATAAGTAAATAAAGGACCTTTCGGGAATTAATGTTTTAGAGGTGGATGGTAAAATTATATCTCTTGCTGAATTGCAAGTTGGATGGCAACGTCTTGCGAGACGTTGTTCAAATGTGTTGATTTGTAACTTGAGAGTTGTAGTGGCTACAACTCGATTGTAAGATTGAGTTGTAACGTTATAATCGCGAATTTTTATTTATCGTCTTGGAATTTTATATTCATCTTCGAAAGCAAGCTAACGAGAAGTATAAGAATATCTTATCATCTAAGTTATCAGCAAGATATAAAATTTAAGCTTGCTCCGAAAAGAAGAGAATAATATCTCATGATCTCTTAAAAAATGTGATTCTATCCTATCTAATGAAAATTTATAAAAATTAAAATAATATTCGCCTCAATATTATAATTAATAATAATATCATATTATAGAAAACTCAACTTCTAAAATTGCTCAAAGAATCCATCAATTACAGATAGTCTGCAACATTCTTAATTGGGAGAATATATAATTATAACAATTTTTTTAAATTGATGTGATGAAAAAAAATGTGTTCACGAAAAAATTAATTCAGACTTGAAAAGCAATACAAGAATTATTTTTATTTAATAGTAATAAATATCGTATCATATAGTTAAATATCGTATCGATACTATATATTGAATATAATATCGTGTTATATAAAATAACGTTATATTATTATTATTAATATAACTATAAAATAACATCTTGTATAAGAATAAAAAACCTAGTCATGATATATATCGTATATGAAATTGTAAATATCCAAATGATAATAATTTCACGGCTCGCTTCTATCAGCATGAATCGATCGTAGTCGTTAAGGATTAATTTTCGGCCAAATTGAATTAAGAGATTCATCAAATAATATTTATTCTATCTTATTAACATAAATAAAATTATTAGAATAATTAGAAAATTTTTAGAATAAATTAGGGACGATAAATTACACGAAAAATTTGCTTTAAGTAATTCCACCAAGTCAATTGCCGAATAATTAAATCGCGCAATTTAATTCAGAACATGTAACATCGATTTACATGACATTACTGCCTGTAGCTTAAGAAGAATATTGCGTAATCGAGATGCTGGAAGATAGTTTTCGATCCAGTTTTCGAACGATATGTATTTTCGGCAATTTCGGCGCCCGTCCGCGAAATCGTCTGATCGTCGTGCGCCGATCGAACACGTGCTCGCGAATTGACAGCGCAACGTCACCATGGCGACAAGCGAGCGCATGGTAAACAATTCACGGCCACCGCGCATCAGATCAGAGCGGTCACGTGGTCCGACCGTGACAGATTGCCTCCGGATTGAAGGACGGTCGTTCGTTGTCCCCGAGATCGGTATCGTCGGTGATGTCGCGTGACATCTTCGTCACGAGAATCAGCTTCCTCGCCGCGCAAAAAGGAGAGAATGAGGAGAAACGGAGAAAGCGAGATTACCTTCGAAGATGAATCCGGAAGGCTGTCAAAAAATGAGTGCAACGCAGTGCATGCTCCTTCTTCATTCGGCTTCTGCTCCGCAAAGGCGTACGCGAACAAGAACGAAGAGTCGGTCTGATGAGATTACGACATACGCACACTAATTTTCACCGTCTTAACGATGCGTATCACTTAGCGTGACTGATGACTGATTGCGATTCAGCTCTCTGAAGAGTTTTCGTGCCGCCATCTCGCGGCGATAATCTTGCTTTTCTCGTTGTTAGCGGGAGATTCAACTTTTTTTTACCGTAATCACTCATCCATCATTAGCTTCAGTGAATTTTAATATATAATAGATAGCAATCCGGATAATTATTTTGATTAAGGGATATCACGCTGATGGCTTTGATTTTGACATATATTACGTATGCTGATTAATTTTTCCTTATAATCAGGAAAAGTTATTTTTTAAAAGTAACTCTTTATTTCCCAACCCTGTTTAATAAAATAACTTAATCTGCTGTTTTATGTTTTTTGAGATGTACTTATATAAATATCAGTAAATCTTTACATTAGAGAATAAAGCTTCGATAATTTGAATTCTGACATATATTATCAAGAATACTGCTAAATAATAATAAAAAAGTTTTAGACGATTCATTGTTTATTAAAAAGTTGTATCAATAAAGTTTACAATATAAATATATAAATCAAACAGAGAGCCGTATCACAGAGTTGTTTTTTGTGATAATTGTATTCAATAATTAAATGAATAAATATACATAGCATCTTATAAAATTTTTATTTATATTATAATAAAATGGTAAAAATCGAGAATATTATAGATAGTATATACGTAGGCAGGAGAGTTAGTTTCGTCCCTCCCCCTGTATTCCCAGGAAATCTAAAGCAACTTGTTTCG